GGTAAGCATAGCCTTTTGGAGGCCTTTCACACAAAACAAGCAGTTAACCCATGCAGTGCAGGCACAGCCCCACTGCATGGGTAAAAAAAAAAAAAACAAAATTACCCAGAATTCTGCTTTAGGTGTTGTTTTCATTTAATAAGACCCTTCACAGCTCACATTCAGCTCAGGTTGAAGGATTTTTCTCTTGAATGTGGAATCCTCCTTAAATGTTATTAATACAGATGGTAATTTAAAAGGACTTGGCACATGACTTACAAAAGTAATAGAACTTTGTACTACATAAAAGTAAACTCAGTTTATGCGCATTTACTATTTACATTTCTGAAATGGTACTGGATGTCTTGGAATCAGAAAAAATATATAGGTAGTAAGACTAAAATAATAAATAAATAAATAACGGTCCCTTGTTACTAATACTAACACATAAGTGGTTTCTGTTACATACAAGAGGAAATGGCATGCAATATCACTGATGACTGCCAAATGGATTTCAAACAGTGAACATTTTCTGTAGGAAATTGCAGGACTGTTATGGCTCTGACAATAATATGGACAAATGTTTCATTTTAAAGTTAGAAGAATTTGACCCTGAAAAATATCTACGCTGCCCATGTCACTTGTCTGCTGACCACAGGAGGTAAATCCTCCTAAACAAGAACTATGGATAAAGTTAAGCACATTACAAAAAGATTTTCCCTCCACATACTTTCTGTGTCTCTTCTATTTGTTTTTGCTTTCATATGTGAAATGTTATTTAAAAGCCGTGTGATCTAATGCGAAAGCTATTCTGTCTACTAACATTCTAGATGAATGTTTTCAACCTCGGTACAAACTCTATCAAAGTATGTTGGTTAAGTTAAAACTGGTTATTTTTTTTCAGTTAAAATGCAGGTATCTCTTATCTAATCAATTGAATATTTCTATATTGGTAAATTGCACAGCAGAGCATACTGTAGAGAAGACAGAGAGGGAACAGGAGACACGTGAATCTCAGTTAATCTGCTCCAGCTTTACCAGAATTGTAGAAGGTGCAAGGAAATGTGAGTTGGAATCCTCTGTCCTTTCTGATGTAATAAATCCAGGTTTTTGTTCTCTCAGAAAATACATACAAGAACTCAATCAGGACCCGCTAAAAACCCCCTCAACCTCCAAACCACATCAAATAGTGTCAAATTTCACTAACAGTAAGAGGGTCTTAAAGGGGCATTAAATACCAGGAATGCTTTACTTACAGAGTACAGAGTTTAGGGGGGGGGGTACTACGTTCAGAGTTTGGGGGTGTGCTATGTACATAGTACAGTGTTCGGGGGTTTTACTTTTGTTGCTGTATTTGGGTGAAGCATCCAGCCAGCTCTAGTTCCTCCCCACAAATTGTAGGTGGCTTTGCCTCTCTTACTTGCTGGGAGATCATCCAGTGGGGGTGTCGGCACTGCACCCCAGACATCTGCATCTCCCTTGTCCCCATCCTGCACTCAGCGGTAACTGCTTAGAAGATCTGTGGGAGACGTTGGAAGACATGCTATCACTTGTAAACACAGAAGCCATGTTTACAAGTGACAATGGTGAGCAGGGAGCAGAGGGCCTGAACCACCAAGTTTCAGCTGAAAAAAAGTCCGGAATAAATCTAATAGGGAAGAACTATAAGTTCTTATTAGGAATTGCATTTTTTATGCATGCCTCTCACTCACTTCTCCAGTAGCTACATCATTCCTTGTATTTGCTTGACTTTGGCCTTTCACCTTCACCTTCCTCAGTACCTGCACAAACACAAAATCCCAGTTTACGTCTGATTGCCCCCTCCCCCCCCCCACCCCTGTTTAAATTTACTTGTCCACTCTCAATAATTGCCCAATATAATAGTTCAATTTTTCTGATTTTGGGTTTGCTGCCCGATAGTTTTCTGTATATCAGCCTTAACTTCCTCTAGCTGTTGAACTTTTGCTACCTGGATCTACTCTCTGCCCATAATAATGCTCATCTCTTTGGATGAGTTGCATTTTTTAAAGCCTTTCTGGTTTGTCCCTGGCCTGCTCCTTGACAACCTTTGTTCTCTTATGTGGCTCTGATGCTAACGCATCTATCTGTGTCATCTTGGTAAAGTCTTCTGGTCTCCATCCACCCAGATATAATATTTTTTGCACTTAAATCCTGGGAGCCCTCAAATTGGTGTGTGAAGTGTTTTAAGTTTCCCTGGATGGTGGCTTGCCTATAGGTGAAAATTGTCAAGGGAAATAGGATATTATACCTGAGATTTGGAGATTATGACCAGGAAGTCACAACTTCCTTACTAGCCATAAAAAAAAAACTCATGTTAATCTCTGCTGGCATTTTTTTATGTAGGTCAGAAGGCAACTGTTTTTTTTTAGCTGGATTTTTCTGTACTGACAAAGAATGAGGAGCCCCAGGTATTTAGTAACCTATCTTAGGTTTGCAAGACACTATCATAATGTTGTATAGTATTTTATACTCATATCAGTTATTCATGGAAGTTTGCTTAAAGCCATCCAGAAATGAATCCATTTTCCTTAGTTAGTTATTAGTTTTTACTATGGTATTGCATTACTTCAGTAAGTGTTTCCCTCAGGTGTGAATGACAATTTAAATCGCGAAGCTGCCATATCTGATTGCACAGCTCAAATTAGCCACACTTTTATAAAAGACTGGAAATTAGAAAGCTAGCTTGAGGATAAAGGATAATTAAGTTGGATGGGTACTTCCAATAGTAAGGCAATGTAAGGATATCGAGTAGTGATTAGTCACATTCCACTGGACTTGTTCTCTGCAATGTTGAAAGCAATTTGTAGTTTATCCAATCCACTTCTTCAGTTCAGTAATGAGTGTCAGGAAGATACCCCAGCATTTTAATCAACACAGGTAGCATTGACACTTTAATCCAATCACCATGGAAAGGCAGATGTTATTGTCCTAGTAAAGAGTGGGAGGTGTGACATTTGTGGCACCACCTTGTTCTAGTCACATAATCCAAGAAGAGGCTTGGATTAGCTAAGAGATGTCTTCCACGTTACAGAAGAAGTCCAGCTGAATGCAACTAACTGTACTGCTAGATATATCATGCCCTTGATCAGGGGCGGACTGACAACTCATGGGGACCCCGGGCAATAGGGGATCATGGGGTCCCTGTGTCCTTGCCCAAGCTCAAAAAAGCCTGTGAAAAGGGTACTAGGGGCATCTCATGGGGCCCCCTACTGACCTCGGGCCCTCGGGCAGTGCCCGAGTTTCCAAATGGTCAGTCCGCCCCTGCCCTTGATAAATGGGAAGCTCCATAGACAAGGAAGGAATGCCATCTCAGTTGTCTAGTTCATATGTGAAATGAGACTAAAAAAAACACCCAATTCATTGGTCTCTTTTATGATCTACAGTTATGGACTAACTGGCTAGAAAATACAAGAGGTTCGTTGAATTTGACCTGGAATTAGCTTCTTGCAGTTCTTGTAAAACAGAACTGAATTGTGAGAGGAAGAAGCAGTACAAGGAGCCAATCAGTTCATGTCCTAAACGGAGCATGGTGATATGAAGAAGAAAGGAATAGCAGAGTGACAGAGAAATGAGCTAACCACTGTGCCGATTTTCTATTCGCTCTCCAGTGTCAGGCTGGGGCAGGTCCAGGGGGCTTATAGGAAGTTGGCTGAATGATGCTGGCCATCAGTCTGAGGATATCTAGCAGCAGAAAATAAAAGTATTGCGGGGGATCATTCTGTACCAAAGCTTATTATTGTAACAAAAACTGTTTTTCTTTTCCATCTTGTTATTTTTGGATGGAGTTTTGCTTTAATCATCAGTCTGTAGACATATCCCATTACTTCTGCTTTTACAAACCATCAACAAGAAAGCAAGTGTTTCAACTGAATAGAAGAGATTTATAAAATTAAAGTATTTGTCCAGCCACAGGCTTACAACTTTTTTCTTCATTTTGGATAGAGAATTAGAATTAGAACCCATGCTAACCAAGGCCCCATTACAGAAAATTGTCATTACTTTGTGTCCTGTTAAAAAAGTAATACCAGACAGGAAGTAAGAGGAACTCTCCAACAGCAACACTGGCAAAAAATGCTTTCTTTAGTAGAGTAGGGGAGACTAGAACCCCTATTAGATCTTTATTTAGTTCCCCTGTTGCTGTTTTCCTCTCTTCCTGCCTGGTGAAAATGTTGTCAGCAGGGCAATAAGTGAGGGTAAAGCTTTCTAATGGAGCCACAGATAGCAGTAGAAACCTGGCAGGAGCATAAATCCTGCTCTACTCTATCCACAACTTGAAAATGTTATTGGCTTGACATACACTTTACATAGTTAGTCTGGCTGAAAAAAGACAAATGTCCATCCAGTTCAACCATTAACCACTAGCCTACAGGGCACTTATACCCCCTTCCTGCCCAGGCCAATTTCCAGCTTTCAGCGCTGTTGCACTATGAATGACAATTGCGCGGTCATGCAACACTGTACCCATATGAAATTTTTATCATTTTTTTGTGACAGATAGAGCTTTATTTTGGTGATATTTAATCACCTCTGGGGTTTTTATTTTTTCTTAAACAAACCAAAAACCACTGAAAATTTTGAAAAAAGCAAAACATTTTTTCTTAGTTTTTGTTATAAAATTTTGTAAATAAGTGATTTTTCTCCTTCACTGATGTGCGCTAATGAGGCTGCAGTGATGGGCACTGATGGACACTGATAGGTGGCACTGATGGGCATTGATGAGGAGGCACTGATAGGTGGCACTGATGGGCATTGACAGGCATCACTGATGGGCACTGAAAGGCAGCACTCATATATGGCACTGATAGGCGGCACTGATAGGTGGCACTGATAGGCGGCACTGACTGGCACTAATAGGCGGCACTGACTGGCACTGTTAGGTGGCACTGACTGACACTGTTAGGAGGCACTGATAGGCAGCACTGACGGGAACTGATAGGCGGCACTGACTGGCACTGATAGGCGGCACTGATGCACACTGATAGGCGGCGCTGACTGCAACTGATAGGTGGCACTGATTGGCAGCACTGATAGGTGGCACTGACTGGCATTGATAGGTGGCACTGACTGGCACTGATGTGTGACACTGAAAGGCAGCTCAGATAGGCACTGATATGTGGCATTGATGTTGCACTGAAATGTGGCACTGATGTGGCACTGATGGGCACTGGCAGGTGGCATGGATGAGCACAGAGCTGGCACTGATGGACACTGACAGGTGGCGCTGCTGGGGCTACACAGATCATCAGTGCTCTGATGATCTGTGTAGATGTCCCCTCTGAGGAATGCCGATTACCGGCTCTCCTCTCCTCACGAGCTGTCAGCGTGACAACTCGTGGGGAGAGAAATGCCGATAACCGGCATTTCCCTGTTTACATGTGATCAGCTGTGATTGGACACAGCTGATCACATGACCGAGCCGACATCTTCGGCTCTTTCCATAGATCAGAGATCTGCTGTGTCAGAGGGACACAGCACACCGCCGAGTCGCCGCGCTGCGCACTCCTGGAGCCGCGCATGCATGGTGAGAATGGGAGGACGTCATGTGACGTCCTCCCAGAACGAGAGAACCGCCTTGCGTCTGTCATATTACTATATGGCGGGTGGGAGGTGGTTAAAGAAAAAAAAAGTTATAATCCTACAGCCGCAGTTGATCCAGAGGAAGGTAAAAAACCCAGCCATGCATGGTCCAGTTTGCTCCTACGGGGCAAAAAGTTCTACCTATTCTCCCGAGAGGCAATTGGATATTCCCTGGATCAACTTTACCTATAAATGTTAGTAACCAGTTATATTATGTGTATCCAAGAAAGAATCCAGACTTTTTTAAAGCAATCCACTGAACTGGCCAGAATCAACTCTTGAGAGAGTCTATTCCACATTTTCACAGCTCTTACTGTGAAGAAACCTTTCTGTATTTGGAGATTAAATCTCTTTTCCTCCAGATGTCCTCTGTGGTGACCTCAGGGTGAATAACTCTACACCGAGTTCACTATATGAACCACTGATGTATGTATACATGTTGATCATATCCCCCTTTAATCTCCTCTTCTCAAGAGAGAATAAATTTAGTTCCTCTTATCTTTCCTCATAGCTCAGCTCCTCCATGCCTCTTATCAGTTTAATTGCCCTTCTCTGTACTTTCTCCAGTTCTCCAATGTTCTTTTTGTAAATTGGTGCCCAAAACTGAACTGCATATTCCAGATGAGGTGTTACTAATGATTTGTACAGGGGTAATATGATCTCTCTCTCTCTGGAGTCTATACATCTTTTAATACAAGAGAGGATTTTGCTTGCTTTAGAAACCACAGCTTGGCATTGCATGCCATTATTAAGCTTGTGATCTACCAGAACCCCCAGATCCTTCTCCACCATTGATTCCCCCAGTTGTACCCCCCTAGTATGTATGATACATGCATATTCTTAGCCCCCAAGTGCATAACCTTACATTTATCAACATTAAACCTCATTTTCCACATAGTTGCCCAATTAAACAGTGCATTGAGGTCGGCTTGTAAATTGGAGACATCCTGTAAGGACGTTATTGCACTGCACAGCTTGGTGTCATCTGCAAAGACTGAAACAGTATTTTTAATCCCAGACCCTATATCATTTATAAATATATTAAAAAGCAAGGGTTCCAACATTGAACCTTGGGGTACACCACTAAAAACCCTACACCATTCGGAGTATGAATCTTTACCACTACTCTCTGAATACGATCTTTTAGCGGTATTCTATCCATTTACATACCAATTTTCCCAAGCCCGTAGACTTTACCTTACACATTAGCCGTGTGTGGGGAACTTTTGCAAACTCCAAGTATACCACATCCACCGCCACCCCTCTGACCAAGGTTTTGCTCACCTTTCTAAAAAAAAGATATCAGATTTGTTTGACAACTTCTGTCTTTCATGAATCCATGCTGTCTGTTGCTTAAAATATTTTTTCCGCAAGAACTCAACTATGTGGTCTTTTATTAAACTCTCCAGTATCTTCCCAACTATAGAAGTTAAACTAAAATGGCGATAATTACATGGTAAAGATTTTGATACCTTTTTAAATATAGGCACCACATTGGCCTTACACCAATCCAGTGGTACTATGCCAGTCATTAAAGAGTCCCTAAATATTAGAAACAATGGCTTTGAAATGACAGATCAATTCTTTAAGGACCGTGGGTGTATGCCACCTGGTCCAGATGCTTTATTCACCTTTATTCTGTCTAAATATTTCTGGATCATATCAGTTGTGAGCCAATGTGGATCATCTGGAGCTGTGTCAATTCCATGCCCATTATGGACAAGAGCTCCCCCATGCTCCATCGTATACACAGAGCTGAAGAAGGTATTTAATAAATGTGCCTTCTCTTTGTTCTAGTCACCCACTCCAGATTATTTTGTAAAGGGCTTACGTGCTTCGAGCTGACCTTTTTACTATTAATATATTTGAAGAATGTTTTAGGGTTTGTCCTGCTATCTTTTGCAATCTGTCATTTGTTTAAATTTTTGCGGGCTTTAGTTCGTTTTTGCATATTCTGTTATATTCTTTGTAATGCTTAAACGATGATAGTATTCCTTCATTTTTATACTTTTAATAAAAGTTTTTTTCTTATTATCTATAGCTTTTTTATTTTTTGGCCGTCTTTTCGAAGAAGCCACATAGGTTTGATTTTTAGCCTTTTAAATGAGATTTGTTGCCCATTATAATATATTTTATCAAAGAATTGTGTGTTCACAATACAGTCTTTTTGAAGAACTCCCATTTCTGTGTTGTCATTTTATGTTCTTGGAATATACACAATAATCTCTTTACAAGTATAATTTTTCCCTTTAGCATTTACTATTGTACACAATATACTGTATGGGTGGTAATGCATAGGGGACACGAGGCTTAATAAAATTGCAGAGGCCATCTGGATCCAGGAAGGTAAAATATTGCCAGATTGAACTTCAGTTTTAAAGGTCAGTGCCCTTGTTGTGTGCATTATTTGATGACCTGTTCATTGATTAATTCACTGTTCCAATTGATCCTTTAATCCACCTACACAATCATTTGCGCAAAACATTCAGACAGCACCTGCTGTTCACTAAAAACCAGGATATTATATTATCTCAGATATTCAATGCTTTGCACATCTAGCTGGAAAGAAGCGTCTGACAATGTCATCTTGTTTATATCTTGAACATTTTCCTAGCGGTTCTGCCTGATATTGTGCAGATTTCTTTGTCACGCCATTTTCTCCAAATCTGTTTACTGTTCTTGCTCAGTTATTAACCCTTAAGCACCCTAAATATATATTTTTTTTCCTTTGCTACAAATTTCCAAGGAAAAAGGTTAATGGTATTTATTCCCAGCAGCAAATGGCGACTTATTTTACCAATATACTGGATTTACTTAGTTCTGGATAAACCACATTGTAACCTAATCATTTATGATAGTACCCTTACATGAAAGGTATTGTGTGCTTATATATACAATAATATTTTGTAGGACTTTAAATATGCTCCCCTGGGAGTATCCTATATTAATACCCACAAAGGTAGATCAGTTATTTGTTTTTACTTTATTATACAAAAAAAACCTTAAAGTACATCATCAAAGTAAAACAATATAAACAAAATCTTCCTGACAACAAATATGGTAAAAAGCCACAAAAAACTTAGCATTTACACAAGTTTTTGCTGAGTTTTGTGTTTTTTTTGGCCAAAATGTTCCTCTCCTAAATGTGATTCTTCTGCATTCTGGAGAGGGGCGCTTAACTGCCCCTAATCGCTGCTGCTGCTGCTAAACTCTGATAAAAGCTTATGTGAGCATGGACACATAGGCGTTTATTGAGTAGAGTTTGTGGACTTTGGAAAAAATTGCCAAAAGCTCCTAAACTCACATTTCAAAGCAGCAGTGTACATAAGGCCTTAGAGTCAGTCTATGTGTTTTGCAGTGTATCCTCTTCTTTAGGACTGGCATATAAGCTTTTCTGTACACATTGGTGATACTTACAGGTTCATCTGTAAAGAATAACAACATCAATATAATTACATAAACAAAAATACACAAAAAAAAGACCAAAGGGGTATATACAGTATTTGTTTATGTAACTATATTGATGCTGTTGTTATTCTTTATAGATGGACCTGTATGAATTACCAATGTGAACAGGAAAACTTTGTTTATATTGCTTTTACTTGTTTGGGGATGGACTTTCACAGTTTTTTTTATTTAAAAAAGAGAGAAAAAGTTAACTGATGTACGTACTGCTATTGGATACATCCAGGGGAGCACATGTAAAGACTTACAATATATTACATGGCTCCGTATTAGTACGTATTGTGATGATGCCCCCTAGGGACATATTCTGTTTTGTTTCATATATTCATATTGATCCCACATACTCAAATTTTGCTTGGCTTGTATATTCAGTATTTACTTTATTAGGTTGAAGCTAGAAAATAATATTTTTAAGAACTGTTTTAATTTTTTTAGCCAGGTAAATACCTGTCTATATAAAATTAAAAATGTATTATTATCTCATATTTACATGTTCCAGCTAGCATATATAGTTCTAGTCTTTTCACATGTTTACCAGGCTAATGTTAACCACTTCGCCCAAAGCTCAGTAGCTGCACCTGATATTATTTTCACAAAAGTCAAAGTGACTCATACTACCCCTCCATTCTGTATGGCTTGAAAATGGGACTAAACCCAAAACAAAAAATGTAATATATTGCAGCTTACAAATCTTTACACCTATTTTTTGCCGGCCAGTAACGCAATTCCTGTGTTAGGGTGGCTCCTTTCTGGATGAATGAGCAATGTGGGCACCTCTGGACAACAGCATTGGTTATGATTAAGCACGAGATCGTGTGAAACGCGTTAACAGGTCCTGTATTCATGTCCTGGTGTTTTGTGTGTCCTATGGATCAATAAATACACACTATATTCTTCTATCCTCTGGTGTGCAGCTGACCTTACTTCCTATTGCAACAGCATTGTTAACTCGTGGACAGGTTAATGTTACATGCACTCACACATTTAGATGGACTTGACTGACAAATTAACCACTTGTACTCCTGAGGAATTACCCCCCCTTAATGACCAGGCCTCTTTTTGCTACTCGGTGCTGCACTGATTCAACTGATAATTGCGCGGTCATGCAATGCTGCACCCAAACTAAATTTACGTCCTTTTTTGCACACAAATAGAGCTTTCTTTTGGTGGTATTTGATCACCTGTGCGCTTTTTATTTTTCACGCTATAAACAAAAAAAGACTGAAAATTTTGAAGAGAAACTATATTTTTTACTTTCAGCTATAAAAAATATATAGTAAATTCAAAGTTAGTTATAAATTTAGGCCAAAATGTATTCTGCTATGTTTTTGGTAAAAAAAATCCCAGTAAGTGTATATTGATTGCTTTGTGTGAAAGTTATAGAGTCTACAAACTATGGTATAGATACTGCAATTTCGCCATTTTTCTGCTATA